CTTGGTGATGATGAACTCTAGTTTTACCTTGTCTGGGAAGCACTTTATCCTCCTTTCAATTCTAAACGATAGCTTTTTTTTTTTTTTTCCCCAAATTTGGAATTTTATTTCCATTTAAGAGTAAGTTCATTTTGGTCTTATATCAGAAGAATCTCGAAGTCAATGCTGTGTTAGGGGACCTTCTCGACTGAATCGCTTGGATGGGGACATTTTCACTAAGGTTGCGACAGAGTTTGGCTGCTTGATTAGTGACTACTCACTGAACCTCTGACAGTCCAGGGTCTCTATCTGCGATGGCCTCTGTACCAGGGGCAGCCTTTCTCCCCTCGCAGAGCGCCCTGCCCCAGGGGACTGAGAGTGTCGTGCGCTGCCATATTGCTGCCATATCAGGTGATCCCACGGGAACAGTGTGGCTAAGGCTTCGAGTGTCAGATCTGCTCAGGAGGCCTTTGCAGACACGAAGACACTGAAAGGTGGGATTGAAGCTCGCGATCCTCCATCAGTACAAATGCATGTACCTAATCTTTCCTTTTAGGGAACCACCACTGTGAATTCTGTTGAAAGGGACCTGTTCAGACTGCTAGCACTAAAGCTTAGTGAAAAGGCATGTTTTCTTTCTTTTAGATGTTGGAGCAGTGGTAGGTGAGGGAGGGGCACCTGGCAAATAGGCCCTGCTCTGAACAGGTGATAGGCTGTGTCCTTCTTGAGTCAGTTAGTTGTTTAATCCCTTAGGGGCTAGGAGGGGGATGAGGAAGGAGGATTTAGTGTACCATGGGAGTTGGCTTGCTGTGGCCCTGAGGGTAAATATATTTTTTTCTTTTTCTTTTTCTTTTTCTTAGTTATAAATGCCTGGCTCAAACTGTTCACTTCTGGATATTGAGATAAGCTTTCATTATTAGTGTGTACAAGTTATCCCTTTTCCATTTGAATCTACTCTTAAATTATTTATAAGAGATGACAGTTGGAAAACCTACTGCTCCCTGTCCCAGAAGCTGAAGGTCCCTGTGGGTCGTCTTGGTGATTCATAGGGTAACCTGATAGGGTGCACACTTCACTGCTCCTACCCAGGCAGGGCCTCCTTAGGACAGGACACAATTTAGATGGACTGTCCCTCTAACCATATACAGTAGGTATATGTATTTTTTTTTCCTGTTTCCACTTTTGTTTGTTCATAGCGTTCTGTCTGGGCCCCGCTCCCAGCCATGCCAGGGTTGGCAGCCAACCCTGCCAACTCTGAGGTGTGTGTATAGCACTGTTCTTCGTTGGTTTCTAACGTCAAGATTTTGTTTGCCCTTTCTCCCTTCCAGATTTGAAGGGGGGGGGTCTGGGAAGAAAAGGCACACATGGAAATTAAAAGCCACAGTGTTCATCTGTGGCCTTTGAGGCCAAAAAAACTGATGGCACTTGAAATTGGTTCCCACTCTGGGCTGGCATTTGACACAGATGGCAGGTGGACCAATTACATGCCTGAGTGGGCCGCAGGGTTTGTCTAATCCTGTGTCCTGTCATGTTTAACAGTTTTTTATTAAATCAAAAACTTCCACTTGAGCTAAATTCCTTTTTTAAGGATGGGTATATATTAAAACATGAAATAATGTCTTTTCGCGAAGACCTTCCAAATGCATTCAATCTATCCCTTTGACTCTTGGTAGAAACAAATAAATCTTTTCATTAATGGGTATTTGACTCAGTAATTCCCAAAGAAGGTGATTCTAGAACTTCCCTTACTAATACAGTCTGGTGCCTTCCAGTTCTTATAGTTAACTTCTTTGCTGTATTGATTAATACAGTAGGGCCATTTCTTAGAGAGCAGTGTCAGCCTCTCACCACCCTCAAGTGCTAAGAGCTTCATCATAAACCTGGTATGTAGATCCTCCAGCCATCTGAACTTCTGGGGTTCATCCCGTAAGCTTAGGGACGAAGGTGCCAGCCGGTGGCAGCTGCGGCAGGCCTCGCTGCTAAAGCCGTGCCTTTCATCCTGCGAGCCTTCGTGACTCCCACTAAACACGTCACGTAAGCAAGCTTACTCGTCTGGTTTCCTGGTGCCTGAAGCTCCAGTGTGGCAGAGGGGTCGGAAGGGAGTGGTTATTGGCCTCTGAGGTTTGACAGCTTGACAGTGAGAAGGGAGAGGGGAAAGTACTTCATAGTGAGGGATGTGGGGAAAATCTGTTCTGCAGGCCTGTTGAGAAGGTCTAAGAAAAGTGTACTCTTGTGTAGATTTCATGGGAAAAAATGGTTAAATTAAGATGTTTCATTACATTGAAGATTATAGCTGAAGCTATTTGAAAGAAAGTAGATTATATTCTAAAAATTGGGATTTTCGACTGCAGGGTGGTTGTGAACATGAGCTATAACAATATACACAAAGCACACGGGCACAAGTCAGCCGTGACCTGGCTGCTGGGAGGGGTGGGTTTGCAGGGCCTCTTGGGTTCCTGGTCCAGATAATTACAATGTGTGGTTCATCGTAGTTGCCAAATAAATATAGGCCGAATGAATGTAATAGCTTTTCAAGGAACCCACCTAATGATTTTCAAAACTAATTGGAATATACATCTAACATGAATAGTTAAAATCTACATGTTTCCTCCAAAGCTGATTTAAGCCATTATATTCTAGCTCATCAAAAGCTGATTTAAGCCATTGTATTCTATCTCATCACATAGGAACTTGGATCCGGTTGTAATAGTTAATTTATCTGACCTTCTTTTACATAAATGAAGATATTAACAATCATGGCCTGATATAAGAGAAGCATGGGAGAGCCAGGAGATGGAGAACTGGTAATTGCACAAACACACCCATAGGTCTTATAAATAATGGGAAATCCAGCAAGTTTTTCGGAAACCCGGCATCAGTGTGTACTTACTTTGAGGGAGAGTGAGGAGTCTAGTCCCTGAATGGACAGTTACCCTTCCTGGCTGCTTGGTAGTGACTGTTCCTCGGGCCCCTCCCCTAAGCCCTTTCCCAGATGTGTGTAGGGACGGGAGGTACCAGACGAAAGCGCGCCAGTTGCTAATGACATCGATTCACCTATGCCATTGTATGCCATTGTGAGCGCATTTCGACACGCCTGGGCTGGGAAAAGCATTCCTTGGCCCTTACTGTGTATAAAGAAGAGTACAAGGTTTATTTCAGAGCTTAGGTTTCCACGTTAAAAGTGGAGCTGTGGCATGGAGACATCAAGGAGGAGACAGCCGTGCTTCTGGTTTGAGGTCCATGGATCCTTACAGAATGCAGACATGGATGCCAGGGTGCCAGGAATCTCTGAAATGGTAAGCCGCATTGGAGATGAGTATTTTCAGACATGATGGCCCTTTTTTGCTTTTTATATTTTGATTCTCAGAAGTGTCTTTGACTCAGAAAGAACACTGGATGTTTGAACGTTGATGTTAGCCACTGGTGCTGTACATAATTTATACCATTTTTGTCCTTACACGAGTGATCAGCATAGAGAGATCATTCCAGTGTAATAGCTGAGGCGGGTCCAGAGTGTTTGGTGATATAGGCAGCTTTCCTGGTAAATGGTGAAACTTTTAACCCAGTGGTGTCTGATGTGAGATGGTTCCATTACTGACTCTTCAGTGTGACAGTGGGTATGTCACATACCTTCTCTGGGCCCAAATTTCCCCATCTGTAAATTGAGGGTTTTAAACAACATAGTCTTTTGAGGGCCCTTTTACGTTTAAACTGAGCACCTATCTGTTTCGTGGCTTCGCCCTCCAGTCCCGGTGCTTCTCTTCCGCTGTAGTTCCTGTGATAGTATGAGCTGCCTGTCCCAGGAGCACTTTGCAGGAGCTCTGTGTTTTTCTAGAAATGTTCCAACCCTGGGAAGCTTGTAGAGCCCTTTTCTTATAAAATCTCAATGAATTCTAGATGTATGACACAAAATCCTGCTTTCATAATTTTACATCAAGGTTTATTTTTTATTGAAATTTGTTTTAATATATTTGCTCAATTCTGAGTAAAGGAATGTGAGATGGACCCAGTTCTCTACTTGTTGCTTATTAGCCTTACTCTGAGTAACATTAAAAAAAATACAGTTATTGATTTGAGAGAGAGACACACACACACATCGATTTGTTGTTGTTCCTGTTATTTATGCACTCATTGGTTGATTCTTGTATGTGCCCTGACCGAGGATTGAACCTGCAACTTGATGTATGGAGACAATACTCTAACCAACTGAGCTACGCTGCCAGGGCCTGAAGAAAATTTTGGGTAGAGGATGCTAATTCAAGTGTCTATGAAGGAAAGTTGCAGGGACTTTTAACACTCCTCAGACCATGAAATTAGGCTGGGTGCATTCCAGCCTGTGGCTGTAGGTATTTTGCATGTCATGATTAAGGGTTTACATAGGAGTCTGGGGACAGAGCCTGGAGCTAATTGCTACCCAAGTGGCTCTCAGATGATGTCTCTCTCTGATAAGATGGTCATTCAGAGCTGGAGAGGAATCGCCCGGGGCGGGGCTCGGGGCTGCCAGAGGACAAGCCTAAGGGGTGGTCAGCCCTGTGCTGGCTGCTGGTGGAAGACAGGAGAGGCCAGAGCAGGTGCAAGAAGGGCTGCATTGCACCTTTGCTGAAAGCTGGGAGTGAAGTAATAGCTGTCAGGTTTATTCTCTTTGGAAGCACAACATTCTTAGATCATGACGTTCCTAAATCCACCTAAGAAGCTGCATGTGTATATCACTATACATTCTTTGAAAACTCCTTCTCAGCGTGGTCTGATAACAATCAAGTTGTTTTTTATGCCGAAGTCAGTAGTCTGTGCAGACTTGCATTTCCGTAGATTTGCTGGAGTTCAGAAGTTTGAGCTGCCACTGAAGTATTGGCTGTGCAGAGGCGGGGTTTTCCGTCTCCAATGAGGCGCCTCCAGTCCCCGGAAAGCCTATCGTCTTTCACAGGGAGTGCTTGCTCTGTAATCCAAGCAATAGCCACGCAGCCCGTTTTATTGTTTGTGGAGTCCTGTGGATCCCAAGCGGCTACCAGCTGGGAAAGAGGGCAAGTGGGCGGCTCAGGATTCTGCGCTGGGCTGCGGCAAGTGAGCTGAACTCTGATTTCTCCTAAGTCACCTGTGCGGGTGAACTTGAAACTGGGCACCTGCATTGACGCTGAATCTCTTTATCCAGGCTGAGGAGTTCCTTCTGTCTGCCACAGGCGGCTGGCTCTCTGCCCTTGGGGAGAAAGATGCCTGGGAGAGGAGTAGGATTTCAGGTTGGGATGCTAGGCGCACACCGGGGAGCCAGAGTGCCTTGGTCCTGTGCTTCGCAAAGTCCTGACAAGTATTCCTGAAATGAACGCCCTGCTTGATTTTTAAAATTGTACTTTTATTTATTTTTATTTTATTTGGGGGAGAGCCGTGGCTATCCCTGGTCTAGAAACCAAGTAGCACAATGTGGCTGGAGTAAAAAAAAAAAATTTGTGTTTTTTTAACCCCTCATTTTCCTTTTCTTTGTAATTGGGTGCCTAAAGCCGGGCTTGACTCTCCACACTCAGTAAGTGGGAAGGAGCAGGCTCGTTAGAAGGACCTGGACCAATTTAAAAATACAAGCTTTTTGTTTGCGGGGCTATCCTTTGTCTCTAGTGGATTTTGGTGTGAAAGAAGATGAAAAAGGAAGGCTCTTCAGGTTCCTTCAGACTCAAGTCAAATTCAGGCTCTCTCTCACGTGCCGTAAGTTGGATAAATTTCTCCTCCTTGTCCAGGCAGACAAAGAGGCTGTTTCGCAGTGACGGAGAGCTCTCGGTCTGTGGGCGGCAGGTGGAAGCAGAGGATGAAAACTGGACCTACAGAACCCAGCCCAGAAAAGGTGACTTCATTCTTTTTTAATTTAAACATATTGTAGAAGTTGGCCATGTAGAATTCTTTGTTCCTAGCACCGACTTCCCTTCACCATCTTTGGCCTCATTCGGAGTTTTCAGTTGTTTTTGTATTGGAATTCGGTGTCAACCGTGCGTTACACACCTAAAATAAATGGGCTCTTCCAATGCGATTGAGTTTGAGATTGTGTCCCGCGGAGAAGGATAAAATAGCTGTTATTCGTCCTCAGCGCACTCCCCCCCCCCACCCCCATCAGACCTGTACGCTCATGTGACTGGTGAAAAGTTCAATAGTAAACCACCACCGCAGAAGGAATCTTTTGCTCTTACGCCAATTTGAGGTTAGGACATGGAGCTCTTTTGTGAAACTGCACTGAGGAAACTTTGGCAATCGTGGCTAGTCCCCTTGGCATCTTTTCATAGAAGACTGATGAATTATCTGAATGCTGGAATTAAACAGGTGTCGTTGGGGTGACAGCAAGGAAAATTAACACACGAAGGAAGGGTTTGGTCAAAAGGAGTTTTGGGGTTTCTTTCAAGTTTTTTTTCAGATCCACGTTGGTCTCTTTTCAGGGTTAGCATGTTTTGCCTTCTTTAAAGTGAAGAAAAGTATCAGTCCTGGTGGGAGAGAGGGAAATATTTCAGTATTTCTTAACACACCCCTATTTCATATTTAGAATTTGAGTTCTTCCTCTTAGAATGTTTGCCATAGGCTGGATTGTTAAGCTCTAAAATGGTTTCTCCATTCAGTGCTGTGGCAAAGCCCAGCAGGGGAGTGCTATTTAAGTATTACAAAGGAGCCCAGTCCAGACATTCCGCATGATTGTGTTTTCTCTGTTTATCACGTTTTCCCCGTGCCCAAAGAAGCCTCGCTGGAATCTTTCAGGGACCTGTTCTTTCCCTTCTTTGGGGAAACAAACCTGCTGAAATATGAGAGAATAAACTAAGTTAAATATGTACAGTAATTGTTTTTCAGAGACTGAGACTCAAACGCAGCCCTTCTTCCTGGATCCTGTGTGCTAAGTCATTTGTTCTTGTCTGTTCAACTATGGTACAAGGGCAACCAGCTAATGCTCTTTGAAGATCACAGTTGTTTATTGTGTCAAGGAGGTGGCCAACAGTGGTCCACTGATACTGAGCCTGAAAATGCAGGTTTTCAGTTCAGATGCTGTGTAATTGCCAGGCGCAGACAAGACATTTGTGCCTTCCATCTGGAGTCGTGTAGTTTAGTTAAGTCCGTGAACTTTACTTTTCTAAATCAGGCAGAGGCTGTGGTTTGGGTAAATGGACGGGTTACGATGATTGAAACAAACATGTTTGAAGGGTGGATCCAGTAGTGCTGTGGTTGCAAGAGGGTATAGTTTTGATTCCTTCGGACTTTGCCAAAGGTGGTTTTTTTTTTTTTTTTTTTTTATTACTTGTTTCAAATTAAATCAGCCACCGTCAAGGTTTTGTGAAAGATTGTGTACATGAGTATGTGGCTTTGGGATTTCTATCATAGATGCTTTCTCTCCGTTTACATTAATGGACCCAAGACACTGAATTTGCATGTGTTCATGTTAGTTGGGAAATGAAACAAATACTGTACATTTGACTTGTGAGAAATAAAGAAGTCATTGTAAAGAACAGGGGTGACTTGTGAAGGGAAGGGAGGACTTGTTTATGCAATAATACAAAAGATTCTGCCCTTTATCCCTTAATGTAATAGAGGACACAGTAGCCTGATGAAGATAAATGGAGGTGTAATACAGTGTGTAAATTGATGAGGTACTTAGAAATTATTGGGCAGGATAATATTATCATTTTTGACATAATGGAGTTAGGGGAAATCCTTAAAAAGCTGCCTATAGATCAACATTTACGATATTGTATTCTGTTTTCACGTTTGTCTTACAAAAGAAAATTGACTCCCAACTTTGACACACTGCCTCAGAGGCATGTTATAACAGTTGATCTTTATTCCACATAATTCTTTCCTTTGGAGGAATACAGAAATGACATTTGTTTATACTTGCAGATCAAAAGAGGAAAAATCCTAAAGAAAAATTATGCAGGATTGGAATTTTGTCTTAGGAGCATCAAACAAGCTAAAACTCTAGCAAGGATTAGCAGCCAGTGCTCAGCATGCCCGATGGCCATATTAGCATTTGGTTGCAAATAAATATATACTGAAGACATGTTGATCTACTGGGACTTGTATAGTATCCTTTCCTTCTTATAGATCTGTCTGCCCAGACCACAGCACCTGTATCTACTTTCCTTTCGGCCTACCCCCCAACCCCTGTACCTCATATGAACATTTTTTGGATTCATACAGGTTTCTAAAAACTTGCTTGCCCTCCGCCCCTCCCCCACATACACTACCCCGTCAAGCAGTGACAGCTAGAAGTAGGCCAGTGCAGCTTAACAAGTCAGCCTCCCCGCAGCAGTCGCCCTCCTCCCCCCACCCCCCGCAACCACGGGTTCTCTCTTCCTCCCACCCTCCATCCAGCCGCGGCTGCAAGGCCAGCCGGGGTGCCTGCCTGATCTCTCCCACTGGTTCCAGGTCACTTTGCGCAGTTATCCCACTGAATCTCTGCTATCGTTGTGGGTAGTATGTTGTGTTAAGGTATGCAATCATTTTATGAAACAGATCTTTCAACTTTTGTTAAAATCAAAGAAGTTCTTTTTATAGTGACTCTCCATGTTGGATTGCTCATCAAAAACATCAAAATAAAGTGTTTAAAGGATTACCCTTATGGATAGTTATCAGTACACAAACCTAGAGCTTTACAATTTAATGTTGTCATTTGTACTCAAGAAGCTAAGTGTAACATTACAGTTCTAGAGACTTCTTTGGAGAAACTTTTTATAAGAATATAATGCTACTCATAGGTATCTTTCCAATTATACTACTCTTCCTGAGCCTCAAAAGTACTATATTTTGCTGAGTATAATGCACACTTTTTGCCCAAACTTTTTGCATATGGTACACGGGTAGTACTGAGGATGGGCATTATACATGAGCAGCTCTAAAACCACAGGTGTGCATTATACACTGCAAAATACTAGGAGATACATACTGATATGTCCAAGCAATTGCAAGTGAACACCTGTCTGTTTACTTTTGTTCCAGCAAATGGCACTTTTCAAAACTCTCTTACATTGACATCTGTACTCAAGAAGGTAAAAATGAATTGAGTAAACAACAATGATCAGTTCTCACATTCTTAGGGAGTGTGACATGACCCACTATAATAGCAGATGATGTTTTGACTTAGCCATAAAAATCAAGGGTGTGAGTATGTATCTTCTTGGATATTAAAGTTAGTGAATCATGAGCTATTTTGTTAGGTGCCTGTGCAGTAAAAAAGCAGAGGTCAGTTGTAGATGAGACAATGTGTAGCTTTTCATGTGGATTTGTAAGAGCACGTATTGAAGGAATTTTTCCTGAAAAGTATGTGTGAGACACACAGAAATATAACATACAGACTCTAAAGTAATGAAGCCCATACCTTAATGGAGAAGATAGGTAAGGGGGAATTAAGGAAAAAATGCAGGATAATTGTGGAAAATGGTAAAAATGAATGGCTTAGATGAGAAGGTTGAGATAAAGCTGTAATACTTGGAGCATTTTCATGTTTTGTATGGTCTTTTGGCTGTTAGCTTTGGTTTAAACAATATTTAAGGAGCTCTTGCTTTGTTTTTAACATTGTGGGAGGATTTCCAGGGAAACTGGTAGCTAATAGAATTTATTCTGTGCTCCCCCAGGCTTTCTCACTTCTCCTTTTCTTGTGAACTAAAACCAGAAGAGGTGGAATAATAATGGAGTGCCCTCCCATTGGGCAGAGCATGTTTTGTTGTGGTCTCAGCCCTGTGTTCAGCTGGGCAGAGGCATGATTGATGATTGGGGTATTGACAGGTAGCAGATAGAGAGGGTAACTGACATGCAAAGCCTCAATTTAAACAATGCTCTCACTGTCTTCTTCTGGACTTTATCATATATATATTCACATTACCAAATTTGAATTATTTGAATTTCAGTTCCTTCCCTTCCCATGGACTACAGAAAGGGCCAGAATGGCCTTACTAGGGATCAAGGGTAATGGATAATCCATACACGAGGCAATCGATTATTGAAGATGGGGATTTGGTTATATTTAAAGTAACTTCATTCCAATGTCCTCCCTAATAAAATTATTGCAGAAAACAGGATCCATGCACATAATTAGATTAGCAATGACTTCAGATATTACAGTGGAGAAAAATGGCATGGAAGACCAAACACAGCAAGGTCAAGATCCTGCTTCTTTGTAAACAGCTGTGATTTATTTTTTATAATAAAAATCTTTAAAATTATAGGAATTATGAACACTTTCATCATAGCATTAAAGAAACCTAAAAAATATTGGTAAATAATATCAAGGCATAACACCAAATTTGAGAGTAAAACTAGATAAATGAGTAATATTTATTTTGAGGGTTACTATATACGTTGGAATAATAGCTAAATGGAGTTTATCTCAGTGTCTTAATAAAAGAGGTTAAGAAGAATATTATCAGTGAATGTAATGTTTCCCTGCATTCTTTCTACTGAAGTTGACATTCTGTGAAAGAGGCAAACAGTGAGTGCCACTTAATATTTTATCTGGTTCATTGGGACTGCTCTTTTGACCTTTGATTATTTTTTCTTTTGAAGTTGGGAATCTCTGTTGTCTCACTGCCTTGCTTTGTTGCAAAAATGATTTCATTTGTTATTAAATTGGTGAAGCTCTATTGAAATGATGTCTTATGTAATACTCATTTACTTATTTTAAAAAGTTTGTGGATTTGAGAACTAGACATACTTAGATTACTAAAATATCATAAAGTGATAAAAGAAGTAACTTACTGTCAGAGCTTAATTTTGGAAGTGAGCACCTGTGTTCTTTTCTATTACAATGTCTGCACTGGGTTTTGGAAACATCTTTGAAATTGTTCTTTTCAAACAGTTATTTTTTAAAAATACTTT